TGCACAGAACGATCTCAGCATCATGCCATCATCTATTAGTCTAGGTAAGTCTTATATATATATCTTTTCTTTCTTATCATCCAAACTCAGTTTGACAGAGTTTGGTTGCGTTGTTTTATATAATCTTTTCAATCTTTGTTTTGTTGCATATTAATTTATCTTCTTGTTATATATATTAGTTAAATCAATTTTTCTTTTTCCTTTTTCCTTTTTCCTTTTTCAATAATATCCAACACCTTAAATTATTTAACAAACTTCCTTATTTTTCAATAATATCCAACACCTTAAATTATATAAATTAAGCCCTAGTTTTCTTATTGAAATAAGGATTACAATTATTCCTTTGAGCCTGAAAACTTGCCTAACAAGAAATTTCTTAACAAATAGTAGTTTAAAATAGAAACCCTAATTAGACTTACATTTTTGAGACAATTAAATTACAATACATAACATTGTTATCACTTCAAACAGACTTGCGTGACTTAAAAGCCATTATTTCCCATTGATTAACCCCTAATTAGTACCCAACCCCAAAGTGTATATATATAAATACCCCTTAGCCTAGCTCTTAATTAGCTCTCCTCTCTCCTCTCTCCTCTCTCGTCTCAGCACAGAACGATCTCAGCATCATGCCATCATCTATTTTATATATATATCTTTTCTTTCTTATCATCCAAACTCAGTTTGACAGATTTTAGTTGCGTTGTTTAATTTATTAACCTTCTCTTTTCAATCTTTGTTTTGTTCCAAATTAATTTATTTTCTTGTTTATATATATTAGTTAAATCAATTTTTCTTTTTTCTTTTTTCTTTTTTCTTTTTTCCGGAGATGTTATGTTCTATTTAGTTTCTTGTTATAGATGTCATTCTTTAGATCAATCAGATTTTTTTTTTTTTTTGTCATGAATGAATGTTTATATAATCACACTCATACAAACATATATTTATATATATATATATATATATATATATATATATATATATCAGCATGTAAAGATATTAGCGTCCAATTTATATCGATCTCCTGTTTCATGCTTTCCTAATTCTGTTTTAAACTTTGATGATTTCCTAGTATATGATGAACGTTAATTTTTAGTTCGCTTGCCAATATTTTCATTTATTTTTTTTTCTTTTTCTGTTTTATGTCAATCCACACAATCCTAATCCAGAAATTTTGTAGAGAACAATATTTAGATACTAACTCACATTTTTTTAGTTAGCCTCCAATATTGTAATTTATTTCTTTTTTCTTTTTCTGTTTTATATTAAACCACAGTCTGGAAATTTTACAGAGGACAATATTTAGATACTAACTCACATTACTATTGTTATTATGTTCCAGTTTTTGATGGATTCATGCTCAATTAATCCGGCCAAAAGCTTTCTTTCTCTCTCTTTCTATGCAGCCAATCACTATCTTATAAAGATATTGATGGCAGCATAGAGGGAGAGAGAAAGGAAGCCTTAACAATGGCTTTGGATTCTCTTATTATTATCTTTTCCATTTAATACCTCTTGGCTTGTTGTAAGGTATGAATTCTTGTCTAAAATATATTTAATTTAAAAAAAAAAAAAAAAACTCTTTTTTTAGTTATATTCTTGCTCACTAATGAAGTTATTTGTTTGTTTATGTTTTAGGTTGATGGTAACTGACAGTCAAGGAAAGTTTCTAAATCATAGACACACTCACAACTTATTTTTGAAACTTTAAATTAAGAATCTTTAATATATAAGACTTTTTTTTTTTTTTTTTTTTTTTTTTTTTGACGATTATCACTTGACACAAGTAATTAGATATATCCTTGTAAAATATTATTGAAGAATTTTTAAATTTTAAATAACAGAGACTTCTGTATCCCCATTCTCATGAGATAATTGTGATGTATCCTTTTGCTCATTTTTCTAGAAAAAATAAATAAAGAGTGTCATTCTATTGGTTGTGTTCATGAATCCATCAACCACATGAATTTGCATATTTTTGCTCTCAAAAATTTCTATTGGTTGTGTTCTTGTGGAGATCGAATTAGTACTATTACAAGCTTCAGATTGCGTATCCTTGTGCATTACAATACCCATGAGTAGAGTGCAGAGGTATTCCATACAATTTGTGCAATGTATTGACATACTTAGGTTTGAATTAAATTTATATTTTTAATAATATCCACATCCCTTGTTTTACACAAAATCATTCTCAATTTCTGTGATGTTCTCAAAAACAGAATTTATTTTATCTTATTTTTAAAAAATAGCATTGAATTCATTCTTAGAATTAGAACCACGTTAGTACAAATTTCGAAATATTTTTTTGTCCATTTTTGTGTCTTTAAACCTAACACTAAGAATTTATGAAAGAAATAACCGAAGTTTTCAAAATCTTATATTATACCTAATAATTTGGACAATTACGTACAATACAAACTCAAATACCCAACTCGCTTACAATTTACTTTTTTTTTTAATTTTATTTTACTAATTTTAGATTTGCATTTACCCGAGCCATTACAATTCAAAAAAAAATTAGTAATTTTAGTTTTGTCAAAATTAATTTTTAACACTTTTTCAACCCTTTCTATCTTAAAATCAATCAATTTTTTACTTTTTTTATTGATTACTATTGTTGATACAGAAAGTACAAATCCTTCTTAAATAGTAATTATTTCCAATATTTATATCCGTCTCCACATAAATGTTGCATTCAACATTTGGTAATTGAGTACAACATGTCAACACTGCTTTATACAATATTAAGCTTTATTTTATGTTGTTTTGTTTTTATCGATGATTGTGTCGGGCTATTGAAAGCACTCCATAAACTATCAAGGAGCATGCATAATTTTTCGTCTTATTTTTGCAAAGCTAAAGTAGTGCAAAGGGCCAAGTCCACCAAGTTTCCCCGGAACATGAAAATCATAAAGTAATGTAATTCACAATTTTCACATCACATTAATACAAGAAATTAATTAATTAATTTTTTTTTTTGAGGGTCAATTCACCCGATCCTTTCAAAGACTCCGTCAACTTGACATGTTACTCAGCTCATAACAAATTCTCTATTTATATTCCTTATTAGAAAAAGAATTCAATTACTTTGGCCCAAGACACTAAACAAAAATATAATTACTAATTTAATTATCCCAACCCCACAAAAAATATATATATATATCTACAGATAGTCGGGGTTCTATATATGGTTTTGAAGACATGAGATTTACTAGTTTTTTCATTCTTGGTCTAGCAAGAGCTTTAGTTGTGCCAATATTTCAAGAAAGCTGGACAGAGTCCTCATTAATGCTGTTTGGATGACTCTATTCCCTCAAGCTCAATGTCACTTCTTTCCTCCAAGAATTTCAGACCATTCCTCTATAGTGGTTAAGTTGGGCTTAATTAGTCATAAGAGGAACATACCTTTCGGGTTTTAAAATTAGCTTTTAGGCTCTTAACTCAAATTTCCTCTTCATTGTTTCACAAGCTTGGCAAATGGATGTGCATGGATCCATGATATTTCATGTTTCTTCAAGCACTAATGGCCTATCATTGGTCATGAGGTCACAACTGCTATAAGGAATTTTTTCCATCTCATGGAGGATGTTAACAGAAATCAACAACTCATATATAGCCCTAGTTCCTAAAATACTAAACCTCATTATTGTGTATGACTTTAGGTCAATCTCATGTTGTAATTTAATTTATAAATATATCTATCTCTAAGTTCGTTGCATTGAAGCTTAGCTCCACACGTCCTTTATTAACTAGCCCTACCCAAAACACTTTTGCCAAAGGCAGGCAACTCAGTAAAAACATTCTTATGGCACATGAGCTATTCAATGGTTACCATAAGCCACACATCATCCTAATTGTGCTTTTATGGTGGATTTAAAGAACTTTTGATACTCGATCTACATTGACAGTTCATAATTGATTCACTTCACTTGTTGGGTTTTCTTGCTGACTGTGTTCACTAGATTAGCCAATGCATCACTACAACCTCATAATAATCTATTTCACTCTTAATGTATACTTCGCGTAACACTTTCATCCCATATTTAAAAAAAATTGTGTTAATTGATAATCCCTTATTCTTTTAATTTAGTGCGAAAACACCCCCTCAAACAGAAATATGCACATAAAGTAATACTTGTTTTGCCTTTTTACTCTTTGAACAATGCCCAAGGTGTATGCTAATAATCTCATAATATGGGGATATTTTGTATATATTTAACCAACTTTTAAGGATCGTTCTCTCACCTTTCCAAAAAGATAAATAAAAAAATTATCGCTATATATTTTCTCCTAACAATATATTGTCTTTCTCTAAGTTGATTGTTATACATTTTCATCACAAACACATGCAGCGTCGTTGTAGGACCTTTATCATTACAAACCATTTTCTCACCGTGCAAATTAGGCAAATTGGGTCTGGAGCCATTATAAATGGACTCTTGGAAGAATTGTTGTCAATGTTGCCGGGGAGAGCAATTCCATTTGGCCAGGAGGGAATTTTTCTGATCAATTAAGCATATTGCAAAATACAAATCATGTCTCATCATCAATTACATGCATATATGAAGATCCAGGTATTTTTTACAGGATCCATTGATATATAAATGTACTAATTAATATATATATATATATAACCCCTGGAAATAGAAAAATAAGAAGGCTAGTGTATTAATGATGGGAGATAGAGATGGATGAGAGAGAAATAAGACAGACAGACAGAGAATAAATAAAATTAATATTTTTTAATCAAAGGTATTTTGGGGTTTTTATAAAAAAAAAATTGGTCAAAATTGAGTATTAGTGAGCAATTTGCTCTGATAATATAAGAATTTATATGTACTTAAGGCTACTTAATTTTTGGTAGGGGTGTTTTTTGCATTTAATCCCATAAAATATTATGTAAAATGTGTATATAAAGACTATTTAGGCCAACTCTCCCTTAAATGTGTCAAGAGATGCCTATTTGCATAAATTAAAACTTTAATGGTGTTTTTTAGCACATGAAGAGTGTAAGATACAAGGTTGGAGCTGGAATTGATACAATGATGCGGTTAGTTTTTTGGCTTCCAAATGGTCCAATTGTCACCCAGTTACAACTCTTTGAAGTGGAAATTCTTCAACTGGACGCATATGCCTCAGTTGATAGCCTAATTTCCAACCTTCAGTGGGTTATTCCAGAGACAATTCAGCTCCCTGCATACTTTCAGTTACAAGTTTTCTTATCCCAGCTCTACAGAATTGCCCCACCCTCTACTTCACATGACACAGTTGATTGGTTGCCAAGTCCTACACTCAAATTCTCTCTAGCACATACCATGAATTACTTGACTCCTCCTTCAATTATCTTTCCTTGGCACTACCTTCTATGGTTCAAGTACCATATTCCTAAACATGGTATCATTACTTGGTTAGCAGTTAGGAATAGATGTTACACCCTAGATTCAAAGCCCATGTTGAACAAGCATAACACAAATGCTAGTTTGTTGTGTAACTCAGATTATGAATCTTTGGACCACCTTTTCTTCAGCTGCAATTACAGTTCCCACATTTGGAGGGTCATTCAAGAAGTTACAAGATTCACATTTCAGCCTCACTCATGGTCTGACCTGATTGCTTGGTGCTCTACCCATTGGATCTCACAGAAATTCCTTGTTCACAAGCTTCTTCTTTCTGCTGCAGTATACTTCCTTTGGATGGAGAGAAATTCAAGGGCCTTCAGGAATAAATCTTCTTCTCCACAGCATGTAATGTCTCAGATTAAATCAAGTGTGAGTGCAAGACTTGCTTCTGTTACTCTGAGATACAGCTCAGACCTCAGCCAAGTAGTGTCATATAATGATCTACAAATCCTATGCTTCAAAGGCTGTTCTATCACTGCTGGACACTCATGGCTGATGCCCTAGTATTTGATGTTTGCTTGTTGGAGGTGCTAAACCATTTGATGCTGATGCAGTTTCTTGTATTCACTCTTAGAAGTTGTTTTATTGCTTTGTTGGTTGTAACCATTTGGTGCTGTTGCTTTTACTTTTGCGGCTCATTGTAGCACTTGCTTTTGCTGCGCATTGTAGCACTACATGTACATCCTACTCCTTTATTATATATATACAAGCTTACCTTTTAACAAAAAAAAAAAAAAAATGTGTAAGAGTGTTTTCTAAACTTGACTCATGTAAAGTATTCACAGAGTGTGTCAACAAGAGAAGGCCCAAAACAGGAAAAGCCTAAACATCTACAAAGCGCAAAGACCAAAATCCAAGCCCAAAAATGATTTGACTTAAAGCGTGTTTAGTCAACTCAGCTCTTTTTCAACTCATTCTTTCTGAAAATCAAACAGTTGTTTTACTAACTCAAATTAATATAAGAAGTAATTTAATTACTAAATATATATATATACATATATATATATAATTACCGGGTTTTTTTTTTTGGTAAATAAATAAATTACTCGTTGTTGAAACCTAACAAGAACCTTTTTAAAAGAAAGTGCAACTTAAAAATCAAATTCCAATCCAAAAAAGAAATTAGGCACAATTTAACAAACTTTCTTATTTTTCAATAATATCCAGCACTAAAATTATATAAATTAAGCCCTAGTTTTCTTATTGAAGCAAGAGTATTACAATTCCGTTGAACCTGAAAACTTGTGTAACAAGAAATTTCTTAACAAATAGTAGTTTAAAATAGAAACCCTAATTAGACTTAAATTTTTGAGACACAATTAAATTACGATACATAACATTGTTATCACTTCAAACAGACTTGCGTGACTTAAAAGCCAATCTTTCCCATTGAATTAATCCTAATTAGTGCCCAACCCCAATTAGTATATATAAATAACTTTCCTAATTGCCGAACATCTTTAGCCTCTCAATCTCCTCTCTTCGTTCCTCTCTGCACAGAACGATCTCAGCATCATGCCATCATCTATTAGTCTAGTTAAGTCTTATATATATATCTTTTCTTTCTTATCATCCAAACTCAGTTTGACAGAGTTTGGTTGCGTTGTTTTATATAATCTTTTCAATCTTTGTTTTGTTCCATATTAATTTATTTTCTTGTTATATATATTAGTTAAATCAATTTTTCTTTTTCCTTTTTCCTTTTTTCTGTAGATGTTATGTTCTATTTAGTTTCTTGTTATAGATGTTATTCTTTAGATCAATCAGATTTTTTTTTTTTTTTCATGCATGAATGTTTATATAATCACACACACACACACACACACACACACATATATAAAATATTTTTATATCAGCATGTAAAGATATTAGCGTCCAATTTATATCTCCATTTTCATGCTTTCCTAATTTTGTTTTAAACTTGGACGATTTCGTAGTATATTATGTATGTCATATATATTGGTTAAATCAATTATTCTTTTTTCTTTTTTTCCGTAGATGTTATGTTCTCTTTAGTTTCTTGTTATAGATGTCATTCTTTAGATCAATCAGACTTTTTTTTTCATGCATGAATGTTTATATAATCACACACACACGCATATATATAATATTTTTATATCAGCATGTAAAGATATTAGCGTCCAATTTATATCTCCTGTTTCTTGCTTTCCCAATTCTGTTTTAAACTTGGATGATTTCATAGCATATTATGTATGTCAATTTTTAGCTAGCTTGCCAATATTGTCATTTATTTCTTTTTCTTTTTCTGTTTTATATTAATGCACACAATCCAAAATTTTATAGAGGACAATATTTAGATATTTAGATACTAACTCACATTACTATTGTTATTGTGTTCCAGTTTTTGATGAATTCATGCTCAATTAATCCCGCAGAAAAGCTTTCTTTCTCTCTCTTTCTATGCAGCCAATCACTGTCTTATAAAGATATTGATGGCAGCATAGAGAGAGAGAGAAAGAAAGCCTTAACAATGGCTTTGGATTCTCTTATTATTATCTTTTCCTTTAATACCTCTTGGCTTGTTGTAAGGTATAAATTCTTGTCTAAAATATATTTAATTTAAAAATATAAATAAATAAAAATAAAAACTGTTTTTTTAATTATATTCTTGCTCACTAATGAAGTTATTTGTTTGTTTATGTTTTAGGTTGATGGTAACTGACAGTCAAGGAAAGTTTCTAAATCATAGACACACTCACAACTTATTTTTGAAACTTTAAATTAAGAATCTTTAATATATAAGACTTTTTTTTTTTTTTTTTTGACGATTATCACTTGACACAAGTAATTAGATATATCCTTGTAAAATATTATTGAAGAATTTTTAAATTTTAAATAACAGAGACTTCTGTATCCCCATTCTCATGAGATAATTGTGATGTATCCTTTTGCTCATTTTTCTAGAAAAAATAAATAAAGAGTGTCATTCTATTGGTTGTGTTCATGAATCCATCAACCACATGAATTTGCATATTTTTGCTCTCAAAAATTTCTATTGGTTGTGTTCTTGTGGAGATCGAATTAGTACTATTACAAGCTTCAGATTGCGTATCCTTGTGCATTACAATACCCATGAGTAGAGTGCAGAGGTATTCCATACAATTTGTACAATGTATTGACATACTTAGGTTTGAATTAAATTTATATTTTTAATAATATCCACATCCCTTGTTTTACACAAAATCATTCTCAATTTCTGTGATGTTCTCAAAAAACAGAATTTATTTTATCTTATTTTTAAAAAATAGCATTGAATTCATTCTTAGAATTAGAACCACGTTAGTACAAATTTCGAAATATTTTTTTGTCCATTTTTGTGTCTTTAAACCTAACACTAAGAATTTATGAAAGAAATAACCGAAGTTTTCAAAATCTTATATTATACCTAATAATTTGGACAATTACGTAAAATACAAACTCAAATACCCAACTCGCTTACAATTTACTTTTTTTTTAATTTTATTTTACTAATTTTAGATTTGCATTTACCCGAGCCATTACAATTCAAAAAAAAATTAGTAATTTTAGTTTTGTCAAAATTAATTTTTAACACTTTTTCAACCCTTTTAGTTTTGTCAAAATTAATTTTTAACACTTTTTCAACCCTTTCTATCTTAAAATCAATCAATTTTTTACTTTTTTTATTGATTACTATTGTTAATACAGAAAGTACAAATCCTTCTTAAATAGTAATTATTTCCAATATTTATATCCGTCTCCACATAAATGTTGCATTCAACATTTGGTAATTGAGTACAACATGTCAACACTGCTTTATACAATATTAAGCTTTATTTTATGTTGTTTTGTTTTCATCGATGATTGTGTCGGGCCATTGAAAGCACTCCATAAACTATCAAGGAGCATGCATAATTTTCCGTCTTATTTTTGCAAAGCTAAAGTAGTGCAAAGGCCAAGTCCACCAAGTTTCCCCAGAACATGAAAATCATAAAGTAATGTAATTCACAATTTTCACATCACATTAATACAAGAAATTAATTATTTAATTTTTTTTTTTGAGGGTCAATTCACCCGATCCTTTCAAAGACTTCGTCAACTTGACATGTTACTCAGCTCATAACAAATTCTCTATTTATATTCCTTATTAGAAAAAGAATTCAATTACTTTGGCCCAAGACACTAAACAAAAATATAATTAAAAATTTAATTATCCCAACCCCACAAAAAATATATATATATATCTACAGATAGTCGGTGTTCTATAAATGGTTTTGAAGACATGAGATTTACTAGTTTTTTCATTCTTGGTCTAGCAAGAGCTTTAGTTGTGCCAATATTTCAAGAAAGCTGGACAGAGTCCTCATTAATGCTGTTTGGATGACTCTATTCCCTCAAGCTCAATGTCACTTCTTTCCTCCAAGAATTTCAGACCATTCCTCTATAGTGGTTAAGTTGGGCTTAATTAGTCATAAGAGGAACATACCTTTCGGGTTTTAAAATTAGCTTTTAGGCTCTTAACTCAAATTTCCTCTTCATTGTTTCACAAGCTTGGCAAATGGATGTGCATGGATCCATGATATTTCATGTTTCTTCAAGCACTAATGGCCTATCATTGGTCATGAGGTCACAACTGCTATAAGGAATTTTTTCCATCTCATGGAGGATGTTAACAGAAATCAACAACTCATATATAGCCCTAGTTCCTAAAATACTAAACCTCATTATTGTGTATGACTTTAGGTCAATCTCATGTTGTAATTTAATTTATAAATATATCTATCTCTAAGTTCGTTGCATTGAAGCTTAGCTCCACACGTCCTTTATTAACTAGCCCTACCCAAAACGCTTTTGCCAAAGGCAGGCAACTCAGTAAAAACATTCTTATGGCACATGAGCTATTCAATGGTTACCATAAGCCACACATCATCCTAATTGTGCTTTTATGGTGGATTTAAAGAACTTTTGATACTCGATCTACATTAGCAGTTCATAATTGATTCACTTCAGTTGTTGGGTTTTCTTGCTGACTTTGTTCACTAGATTAGCCAATGCATCACTACAACCTCATAATAATCTATTTCACTCTTAATGTATACTTCGCGTAACACTTTCATCCCCTATTTAAAAAAAATTGTGTTAATTGATAATCCCTTATTCTTTTAATTTAGTGCGAAAACACCCCCTCAAACAGAAATATGCACATAAAGTAATACTTGTTTTGCCTTTTTACTCTTTGAACAATACCCAAGGTGTATGCTAATAATCTCATAGTATGCGGATATTTTGTGTATATTTAACCCACTTTAAAGGATCGTTCTCTCACCTTTCCAAAAAGATAAATAAAAAAATTATCGCTATATATTTTCTCCTAACAATATATTATCTTTCTCTAAGTTGATTGTTATACATTTTCATCACAAACACACGCAGTGTCGCTGTAGAACCTTTATCATTACAAACCATTTTCTCACCGTGCAAATTAGGCAAATTGGGTCTGGAGCCATTATAAATGGACTCTTGGA